TTTGCAAATGATGTTGCTGCTCGGTGGGCTTGCATGGCTTGCTGAAAGACCAAAGAAGGGCCAGAGGAACGTCACCTGTTAAAAAAATAATAATTAAAAGTGATTCAAACAGGAGACGAGCGAAGGAGAAAAAGGTGGACGACGAGCCGAGTGGGACAAACAGGCCAAGGCACCCCTTGAAATTTTGTAAGGGATTGAGGATGTTGGTCAGGAAGAGAGAGAAGGCAAAGATGGGAGAGTTGAAGGTCACTTAGAAATTAAATAGAAAATAAATATAAAATTTACTTACAAAAATATTAAGCCGGCTGCTTTACTCGATGTGCGTGGGTTGTTGAGGGTGGATTGAAAGTGAGGCACGCTTTGCAAATGATGTTGCTGCTCGGTGGGCTTGCATGGCTTGCTGAAAGACCAAAGAAGGGCCAGAGGAACGTCACCTATTAAAAAAATAATAATTAAAAGTGATTCTAACAGGAGACGAGCGAAGGAGAAAAAGGTGGACGACGAGCCGAGTGGGACAAACAGGCCAAGGCACCCCTTGAAATTTTGTAAGGGATTGAGGATGTTGGTCAGGAAGAGAGAGAAGGCAAGGAAGGAAGATTTGAAGGTCACCCAGTAATTTAATCACAAATAAATCTAAAATTAATGTGAAAAGGAATGAGCCATCTACGTTAATCTGGGTTTAGGGGGTGGATGAGGGTGGAATTAGTGCAAGGCATGCTTTGAAAATGATGGGGCTGGTGCGTGGGCATGCAAGGATTGTTGAAATGTAAAGGAAGCGCGAGAGGAACGTCACCTATTAAAAAAATAAAAATTAAAAGTGATTTCAGCATAGTTCATGCTAAAGCGTAAATAACGGACGTAGCGCCTTGAGGGTCAAAAAGGCCAAGGCACCCCTTGAAATTTTGTAAGGGATCGAGGATGTTGGTCAGGAAGAGAGAGAAGGCAAAGATGGGAGAGTTGAAGGTCACTTAGAAATTAAATAGAAAATAAATATAAAATTTACTTACAAAAATATTAAGCCGGCTGCTTTACTCGATGTGCGTGGGTTGTTGAGGGTGGATTGAAAGTGAGGCACGCTTTGCAAATGATGTTGCTGCTCGGTGGGCTTGCATGGCTTGCTGAAAGACCAAAGAAGGGCCAGAGGAACGTCACCTGTTAAAAAAATAATAATTAAAAGCGATTCAAACAGGAGACGAGCGAAGGAGAAAAAGGTGGACGACGAGCCGAGTGGGACAAACAGGCCAAGGCACCCCTTGAAATTTTGTAAGGGATTGAGGATGTTGGTCAGGAAGAGAGAGAAGGCAAGGAAGGAAGATTTGAAGGTCACCCAGTAATTTAATCACAAATAAATCTAAAATTAATGTGAAAAGGAATGAGCCATCTACGTTAATCTGGGTTTAGGGGGTGGATGAGAGTGGAATTAGTGCAAGGCATGCTTTGAAAATGATGGGGCTGGTGCGTGGGCATGCAAGGATTGGTGAAATGTCAAGGAAGCGCGAGAGGAACGTCACCTATTAAAAAAATAAAAATTAAAAGTGATTTCAGCATAGTTCATGCTAAAGCGTAAATAACGGACGTAGCGCCTTGAGGGTAAAAAGGCCAAGGCACCCCTTGAAATTTTGTAAGGGATTGAGGATGTTGGTCAGGAAGAGAGAGAAGGCAAGGATGGGAGAGTTGAAGGTCACTTAGAAATTAAATAGAAAATAAATATAAAATTTACTTACAAAAATATTAAGCCGGCTGCTTTACTCGATGTGCGTGGGTTGTTGAGGGTGGATTGAAAGTGAGGCACGCTTTGCAAATGATGTTGCTGCTCGGTGGGCTTGCATGGCTTGCTGAAAGACCAAAGAAGGGCCAGAGGAACGTCACCTGTTAAAAAAATAATAATTAAAAGTGATTCAAACAGGAGACGAGCGAAGGAGAAAAAGGTGGACGACGAGCCGAGTGGGACAAACAGGCCAAGGCACCCCTTGAAATTTTGTAAGGGATTGAGGATGTTGGTCAGGAAGAGAGAGAAGGCAAGGAAGGAAGATTTGAAGGTCACCCAGTAATTTAATCACAAATAAATCTAAAATTAATGTGAAAAGGAATGAGCCATCTACGTTAATCTGGGTTTAGGGGGTGGATGAGGGTGGAATTAGTGCAAGGCATGCTTTGAAAATGATGGGGCTGGTGCGTGGGCATGCAAGGATTGGTGAAATGTCAAGGAAGCGCGAGAGGAACGTCACCTATTAAAAAAATAAAAATTAAAAGTGATTTCAGCATAGTTCATGCTAAAGCGTAAATAACGGACGTAGCGCCTTTAGGGTCAAAAAGGCCAAGGCACCCCTTGAAATTTTGTAAGGGATTGAGGATGTTGGTCAGGAAGAGAGAGAAGGCAAAGATGGGAGAGTTGAAGGTCACTTAGAAATTAAATAGAAAATAAATATAAAATTTACCTACAAAAATATTAAGCCGGCTGCTTTACTCGATGTGCGTGGGTTGTTGAGGGTGGATTGAAAGTGAGGCACGCTTTGCAAATGATGTTGCTGCTCGGTGGGCTTGCATGGCTTGCTGAAAGACCAAAGAAGGGCCAGAGGAACGTCACCTGTTAAAAAAATAATAATTAAAAGCGATTCAAACAGGAGACGAGCGAAGGAGAAAAAGGTGGACGACGAGCCGAGTGGGACAAACAGGCCAAGGCACCCCTTGAAATTTTGTAAGGGATTGAGGATGTTGGTCAGGAAGAGAGAGAAGGCAAGGAAGGAAGATTTGAAGGTCACCCAGTAATTTAATCACAAATAAATCTAAAATTAATGTGAAAAGGAATGAGCCATCTACGTTAATCTACGAGTAATCCTGAAAACAGAAATATTGAGTTCTTCATTGAAAATTTGGAAAATCTTATTGAGAAGTTTATAAGTCCAGAGAAAGAAATGTTACTAGTTGGTGATTTGAATGTTGATCTTAACTCAGACAATGCTGATAAAATGAAATTACTGAACTTAATGGATGGCTATGAAATGTCACTGGTAAATGGAATCGAAGCTACCCGGGTTACAAGCACATCAGCAACTTTGATTGATCATGTATTTAGTTCCTTAAAGTGCTCGCATACTTCTTTTGTCAGTGATGTATTTTTTAGCGACCATAGAATGGTGTCTGTTAATTTTCAAATTCCAATTGAACTCGATAGAGATTATTACAAAATTATCAGGAGATTCTCTGATAGTAACTGGACTGAATTTTTCCACCTTTTAAGTACAGAAAGTTGGACCGAAGTTTATGAAAGTAATAATATTGATGATATGTGCTGTAAATTCATGGATAAGCTTACTATGTACTTTGAAATGAGTTTCCCAAAGGAGTAAATATTAATTAGAGTAAATAGGAAAAATAATGCCGATTCTGAGTTTCTTCGTAAGCAAAAGGAAGAATTAAGGCTCTTGGGTGCCCAAATATCTATACTGAAAAGGAATGATCCTAACTGTGACAGATTAAGAAGTCTTAAATTCAAATATAAAAGTAAACAAAAGTACGTTGGCTTTCTCATAAATGATGCAGTCCGAACTCACAATGACCAGAAAATGTTAAAAGCCTCTAATAAGACTGGTATGGCCTGGAAAATTATTAACGAAACTTGCAACTTGAACCAAGATAAACACGAAAATGATATTAAGCAAATTGAAATTGATGGTGAAATGGAAAAGGATTTACAGAAAATTTGCAACTTTTTAAATAAAAAATTTGTTGAACCTCAGGTAAATCTTAGTAGTGATGAAATTGAACTCTGTACTGAGAGTATTGTTTCAAATGGAATAAAATTTACTGCTCAGCCTGACGTTACCCCATTTGAAATAGAAAAAATTTTGAAGTTATTCCCGTCAAAGAAATCATCTAGCTGGGATGGATTATCTATGGATACGTTGAAAAAGATTTCTGGTTATATAGTGTTCCCTGTGGCATTTATGGTGAATGAGTCGTTTCGCACTGGTAAATTCCCGGAAGTGCTAAAATTAACTGTAATCAAGCCATTGTACAAAAAGAAGGGTGAGAAATCCGATGCTAGTAGTTATCGCCCAATAGCCTTAACATCTTCTGTAGCAAAAGTATTTGAGAAATGTTTCCTAAATAGAATTTAAAGCTATTTCGCTGAAAACAATCTCCTTGCGGACGAGCAGCACGGTTTTCGAAAAGGCAGGAGCACAGTGACTGCACTTTTTAAGTTAGTGTCCGAAATCTACGATTCGTTGGAAAATAGAGAAAAAAACAATGTGATTCTGTATGACTTTTCTAATGCCTTTGGGTGTGTCGTTCCCGAAATACTGCTTGCAAAACTGAAAAAATTTGGAATTGATGATGTATCCCTCCTTTGGTTAAAGTCCTTTCTTACTGATAGAAAACAACTTGTTCAACTTTTCGGTGTGGGTGAAAATGGCGAGCAAAAATTATTTGAGTCAACAATGGAAAATGTTTCGATTGGCGTACCACAAGGAACAGTATTGGGTATTCCTCCTACGGTAATGATATGCCCTTAAAAATCATTGTCGCCGCTCTTATCTTGTTCGCAGATGATTCATCTTTTATTGTAAAGGCTAGAAACTACAAAGCCTTGAGCGAAAAAACTGCTGTGGCTAATGACAAAATGATTGATTTTGCCAGTAATAACCGCTTAAGATTGAACGAAAAGAAAACTCAGGTGCTGCAAATGCATACTGCTCAAACTAGTTAATTGGAACCGCCTGTAATCAGAATTAACGACGCTGAAATTGAAGTGGTAAATCAAGCAAAAATACTTGGTGTAATGCTCTCTGATACAATGAACTGGAGCACCCAATGCGATCAGGTTGTAGCGAAACTGAGAAGTACCACGTACCTTTTTGTTAAATTAAGGCAGCGCATTCAAACTAAATTGCTAAGAGATGTATATTTCGCCCATGTTCAAAGTCACTTACTATACTCAATTGTAATTTGGGGTGGGTCGCCTATGTTGGAAAAGGTTTTCATTGCTCAAAAGAGAGTTATCCGTGCGATGGCAGGTAAAAGATACTGGAAGGCATTGACACCTGTCGAGTCTTGCCGACCACTTTTTGAAGAATTTCAGATCCTGCCAGCTTTCTCTGTGTACGCCTTTGAATGTGTTAAATTTTACAAAAAGTATCCTGAATTGTTCCTCAAAAATTCTGAAAGCAAGGTGCACCAGAATCGCAGTACTCGAAATAAACCTATAGCGGAGCAAGACTTATTTGTCAAACCAAACAGACTGTTGCTGACTGCGCAGTCCCCTCACATCATGATCCCTAGAATTTTCAATCATCTTCCCGATAGAATCAAAAGCATTGATAGTTATCAAGTGTTTAAGAAGGAATTGGAATTAATATTCTACGACAAAATGTTCTATGACGTGCATGAATATTTTTTGTGTAAAATTGTGTGAACTGTATTTTAAATTTAGTAAGCTGTATTATAGTTATATTGAGATATAGCTGTATTACAGTGACCAGTGACCTATTCCAAAGATTATTTCTGTACATATGTTGATCTATACGGAATAAATATTATCTGAATCTGAATCTGTGTTCACTTAGCACTTGTTTCAGTTTCAGGGTGAATGTCTTTTGATCTTCAATTTGTTTTAACAATGTTTTTTTTAAATTTATAAAAATTGAAATTTAATTTAAAAATAAAAATAATTAATATTAATTAAATTTTAGTTCTAAAAAATTTAAAAAATGGGATTGATTTTGTAAATATTTTACACATAAAATTAATATTAATAATTTATATTTAATTAATATAAATTAAAATAAATTTATTTAAATTAGAGCATTAAAAAAAATTAATTGTCACCAGCTGGTGAAATCAAGAGCTAAATTCACCAGCGGTTGATGTTTTTTTTTCTTTGTTAAAATTTTTATAAATTGAAATTTAATATATAATTTATAAATAAAATTAATTACATTTAATTAAATTTTAATTCTTAAAATTAAAAAAGGTGTAATTTTATAATTATTTTATAAATAAAATTAATATTAATATACTAAATTTAAATTTGTTTAAATTTGTAAATTTAAAAAAAAAAATAAATGTCACCAGCTGGAGAATTCACCAGCACAATTCACCATTTGAATTAAAAAGCTCAATTTACCAGCTCAATTCACCAGCTGGTGAATTAAGCTGATGAGGTTTTTAATATTTTTTATAATTATTAAAAATTGAAATTTAATTTATAAATAAATTAATTTAAATTAATTAACTTTTAATTCGAAATTTAAAAAAAAAAAATAATTGTCACCAGCTGGTGAATTCACAGGCTCAATTCACAAGCTGATGAGGTTTTTTTTTTTATTATCAAAAAACAATAAAAGGGATTAATATTATAAATATTATATAAATAAACTTAATACTAATTAATTAAATTAAATTTTTTTTAATTAAAAACCTTTAAAAAAATTATAGTCACCAGCTGGTGAATTCACCAGCTCAATTAACCATTAGAATTAAAACGCTCAATTTACCAGCTGAATTTAGCTGGTGAATTAAGCTGGTTAATTAAAGTGGTGAATTCACCAGCTAAATACACCAGCAGGGGATGTTTTTTTCATTTTTTAAAATTTTAAAAAATGAAATATATTTTATCAATAAAATTTTTTTTAAATATTTAAATTTTAATTTTTAAAAAAGGGATTAATTTTATAAAAATTTTATAAATAAAATTAATATTAATGACTTCAATTAAATTTATAAAATTCAAGCTGGTGAATTCAATTGGTGAATTCACCAGCTGAATCCACCAGCTGGTGATGTTTTTTTTTTAAATTTATAAAAATTTAAATTTTATTTAAAAATAAAATTCATTAATTTTAATTCAATTTAAGTTTTAAAAAATTTAAGAAATGGGATTAATTTTATAAATAAAATTAATATTAATAGATTAAATTAAACTTCTTCCCAAAAAATTAATAAAAAAATCCAACTGAATTAATCTGACATACCTGCCGATTACGAGTGACTCGCTGCGAGCTGCCAGACTTTCTGGGCTGATTTTGCAGAGTATTTATGCACCAGTGGCCTCCAGTCATTCAAGGGCACGGAGCAGGACGCCCTGATAAAGGTTGCCGCCACTTGAAGACTCTGCTGGAGTCTCCGATGCTAAAATCGTCGTGCACCGACCGGCCGCAAATGGGCGGACTGGCCTCTCCTGGCAAAAAAAATGGCCATTGAGATGAAAATAAAACTTGATCAACTTTGAAGCATTGTAAGGTTTCATTAAGAGCCATTTAATAATGTTTAAATCGTCCCAAAAAATTAAAAAAAAATTCCAACTGAATTATTTTTACAAACCAACAAATGGCGAGCGACTCGTTCCGAGCTTCCAGGCTTTCTAGTCGGGACTTCATGGAGTGAATGGGCACCAGGTGCCTCCTCTCATTGAAGGGCAGCATGCAGGACGCCCTGCAGAAGGATGGTGCCACTGAAGACTGTGCTTGACTGTGCTGGTGCTTGACGAGGCTACAACAGTCTTCAGCGGAGATGCATGCACAGGAGGCGGCCTGGCATCGCCTGGAAAATTAAAGGCCATTGAGCTTAAAAAATTTCATGAGCAACTTAAGAGAGTCATAGGGTATCAGTTAAAACTCATTCTGAGTGAATAAATCATCCCCAAAAATTATTACAAAAATCCGACTGAATTAATTTCACAAACGAGCTAGCGTCCGAACCTCCACCTGCCCTTGTTGTTCTTTTTCCGCCGACGTCGTGCGTACTTGAATGTGGGGCCCACGGCCCTCGGCATGGGCCCATTTCGAGCCCAAACCGCGACACCCCGACCAACGAACTTTTCGCTTGGTCGCTCGAGTGAAAAGTGGGGCGTGGGGCGTCGGCGTCTCTCTCTGCGGCCTGCGATGCTTTTTTGTTTGACCCGCGAAGAAGCATCGTGAAGTTAGCCAGAGATCCTAGCCAGTCATCGGAAGTTAGCTAGTTGGCTGGAAATTGGCCACTCGCGTCATTTGGGCGGATGTATCGAATATCGATTCCCGATTTTTTAAAGTGGAGAGCGTAGGGGAGGTGACTTTTTATCGCAACGTTTTACAGTTGACCTTCTAATATTCTTCTCATACACCAAGTCGCAGCAATAAATCGCAGTGTTCTAAAAGAGCACGGAGGAAGGAATATGAGAAGCTAATTTGAAAAACAGTTCCAATGGCCTTAAAAAAATTTTATTTAAAAGTAAATACAACGAAAATTAATCACGTCGAGGGACGCATGGATAAAACGGGTAAAACTAAAAATATTATAAATTCCGTACGCTTATCATGTACATTATTTGCAAATTTTTTACTGCGAATTTTGAACAACAAAAAATATTTAAATTTAATCTACATTCTAAATATGTAAAATAGGCAACTTCACTTTCACGCAATTTCAAATATTAAAAATTAAAACAATAAATTTTAGAAAAATTTTGCGCTAAAACCATGCATTGGAGTAAAATGAAATTATAATCGAAAATAACCTTTCAGGGCATTTTTTTTATAGTTTTAAGGGTAATTGCTGAATTCCGAAAACGAAAACATGCCATTTTGGTTTTCAGACATGTTGTTGGGTATGATAAGAGGTACCTCTCCCTAAATTTTCAGATGAAAATTTCATGTGCTTTTCCGGGAAATCGGATTTCCGTAAAAATCCAAAAAATGGAATATCTTTGTTTCTAATAAGAAATTTCAAGTACTCTTTTCACTTATAGGCGTAACTTTTTATGCTGAACAACTTTGCCGTTGACAACTTTTGTGTAGGTCAAAGGTCAAGGTCACTAAATTACAAATTTCACTTTTAAACGCAATTTTCAAAAAGAAGCACACCTTTGATTTTTTTCTAGGTATTGGAAAAAATGTAGCCCCAAGTGTGTAGAACAATATACTTGATTTTCAAAATGGCATTATTTTTAGTTCAAAAGATAATTTTAAGTGAATATTAAAAAACTGATAAAAATCGCTATTCGGCAATAGAAATTAATTTTCAAACAGCAATAACTTAGTTTCTGTGAGAGATACGACCGTAGTTGTAATGACAAAAAGTGTTTTAAATTACTTTTTCTATCGAACCATGTATTGGTCATCCATGTTTGGTCACTTACGGTTATTGACCCCAGTGACCTATGACCTTAGAAAAATATTTTTGCATAAAATTTCATACAAAAACATTGTTTTAAAAGTATTCTTCAATTTTTTGTGCCACAATTTTGATTAACCCTTTTTTAAGGTCATAGGTCACTGGGGTCAATAACCTTAAGTGACCAAACATGGATGACCAATACATAATTCGATAGAAAAAGTAATTTAAAACACTTTTTGTCATTACAACTACGGTCGTATCTCTCACAGAAACTAAGTTATTGCTGTTTGAAAATTAATTTCTATTGCCGAATAGCGATTTTTATCAGTTTTTTAATATTCACTTAAAATTATCTTTTGAACTAAAAATAATGCCATTTTGAAAATCAAGTATATTGTTCTACACACTTGGGGCTACATTTTTTCCAATACCTAGAAAAAAATCAAAGGTGTGCTTCTTTTTGAAAATTGCGTTCAAAAGTGAAATTTGTAATTTAGTGACCTTGACCTTTGACCTACACAAAAGTTGTCAACGGCAAAGTTGTTCAGCATAAAAAGTTACGCCTATAAGTGAAAAGAGTACTTGAAATTTCTTATTAGAAACAAAGATATTCCATTTTTTGGATTTTTACGGAAATCCGATTTCCCGGAAAAGCACATGAAATTTTCATCTGAAAATTTAGGGAGAGGTACCTCTTATCATACCCAACAACATGTCTGAAAACCAAAATGGCATGTTTTCGTTTTCGGAATTCAGCAATTACCCTTAAAACTATAAAAAAAATGCCCTTCATCATCCTGTCTATAAAATCTGCCAGCGTAACTGTTTTTTTCAAAAGAAAAAGTTAATGTTATCTTGTATGATTTCTCAAATGCTTTTGGCACTCTTCATCCACCTCTCCTTGTATATAAATTAAAACAGTACGGTCTAAATGAGAACTTGCTCTCGTGGTTGGACTGCTTATTATCAAATAGGAAACAATTTGTACAACTTAAGAACCTTGGCTGTGATGGATACGAGGCGTTTATTAACTCGCAGGGGTGTGCCGCAAGGCACAGTTCTCGGCCCAATTGGGTTTTCCATGTATTTAAATGATATTCCCCTTGCTGTATTCTTGGCCCTCCTGATTTTGTTCGCCGACGATTCAATTCAATTCAATTCAATATAATTTTATTTTGGTATAAGCTAACGTACACAATGTATACAGCTTTTACAAAACATGTCAATAAAGGATATATTCTAGTCTGATTCTAAAGTAATCATAGTTTTTAAAGCAAAAAATTCACTCATGTCATAAAACTGGTTTTCCATCACGTAATATTTCACATTTTTCAATAGTTCTTCATCAGATTTACATCTTTTTATATTAATAGGCAGCGCATTAAAAACTCTAGGTACCATAACAGCAGGACTTTCTACAGTTATTTGGAGTCTACACCTATTTTCAACGAGATCATTCTCACTCACATTAGACTGATTGCCACGCGTAACTTTCCTGCTGTCCACTACTCCGGGGTCACTATACCTTTTAAACATTTTGCGATTTCTAACAAGGAACTTAATACACTCGAGGATATAAAGGGAGTAGACAGTTAATATTCCGTATCTTTTAAACAGTGGTTTACAAGATTCCAGAGCCTTATACCACTTTCCATAATATAATCCAGCAAGGGCACGCAAAACTCTCTTCTGGGCTACGAATACATCTGACATATTACTAGAGCCACCCCAGACAATAATTGCATACAAGATATGACTCTGTACATGGGCAAAGTAAATCATTTTCAAAACATTATCCGATACTTTATGTTTCAGTTTGGTAAATTGATATGTTACGGACCTTAGTTTATTCACAACATGTTTACAGTGCTCAGCCCAATTCATAGTATCAGTTATTTGCACGCCAAGAAGTTTACTATGAGCTACTATTTCAACCTCTTTTTCGTTAATTTTAATCACTGGTGCCACGAGATTTCTAGTTTGATGGGTATGAATTTGAAGTAATTTAGATTTGTCACAATTAATTTTTAGGTGATTTTGTTTAGCAAAGTCTATAAAGTCACTATTAGTCATTTCAGTCTTGTTATTTAAATCACCAAAATTTTCACCTCGTATTATTGCAGTTGTATCGTCAGCAAATATAACAAGTAACGCCGCCACAATACTGAGGGGCATATCATTAATATACGTTGTAAAGCTTGTAGGACCAATTATCGTACCCTGTGGCACACCCATATCACTCGAGATAATATCAGACTTAATTTCAGTTACAAAGTGATCACAACCGATATTTTGCAATTGTACATATTGTTTACGATTCGTCAAGAAGCTGAACAACCATGCGAGCGATTTACAGTCCAAACCATATTTCTTTAATTTCTCAATTAATAAAGGAGGATATAGAGTGCCAAAGGCATTACTAAAATCATATAATATTACATTTACTTTTTCCTTGGCTTCTAGAGCGTCATACAAGTTCGTTACATAATTATAAAGAGCAGTGACTGTACTTTTATATTTGCGAAAGCCATGTGGTTCTGGTGAGATAATGTTACAACTATCTAGGTGTTGTTCAAGCCGGCTTAGGTAAGCTTTTTCAAATATTTTCGATATTGAGGGTGTTATTGCGATAGGTCGGTAATTTGATGGGTCTTCTCGTTCACCTTTGTTTTTAAATATTGGGATAATTTTTGAGAGCTTCATATTATCCGGAAATTTACCTTCGGAGAATGAATTGTTAATAATATATGTAAGTGGCAAAGTAATATACAGCGATATTTTTTTAAGTACATTTACGGAGATGCCATCCCACCCTGATGAATTTTTAGAAGGGAGGTTTTGAATTATACTGTATATTTCATAATCAGACATGGGTTCGAGATGAAATTCAGGGAATAGCGGTTCACTATCACAAATATTATCATGCGGAGCAGCTGGCTTATTTTCAACAAACATTTGATTGAGGTAGTTAGCTATATTTAATTGAATGTACTCTTTTTTATTAGCAGTATTTAGTTCCCTAATTGGTGCTAGACACTTGTTTATTCCTATAGATTCATTGATAATTTTCCATGCGGCGCTAGATTTATTATTAGATCCATTAATTTTTTTATCATTATATTGCCGTACTTCATTGTTAATACATTCTCCGACCTGTTTCTTCATCATTTTTATTTTATTTTTTAATACAGATTTCTGTTCGGGATTATTTGTAATTTTACTTTTTTGAGACAATTCTAGTAATTCTTGCCTCAGTTTTTTTGTTTCAGCAGATAGTTTTATTTTCCCGATTTGATTGGCTCTATTCACAGTTTTTTTCATTGGGAAGGATTCACCAAAATAACTTATTAATTTACTCATGAATACTTCGCTTTGCTTATCGACACTAATCTCATTATACACTGCGCTCCAATTTTCATTTTGTAAAAAGTTAGAGAATTTTTGCCAATTTAATTCATTATAGTCTCTAATAAATGAAAAAGAATCCTTTGCTTTTATAATCGGAATATCCATACTTGCGTGGACTGCATTGTGATCAGAGAATGGCGCTGGGAGTACAGCACAGGTAGTAGCACATGAAATATTAGTATAAATATGATCTATTAAGGAGCCAGAATTATTTTCCTCTCGAGTATTTTGAGTGTTATTAACCAGGCGAAGGGAAAATGAGTTTGTTATTGATTGTAAATTCACAGCATGAGAATTATCATTATTTAAGTTTATAT